TCCCCACTGCTCAGGACAGTGCTCGGCACATAGCAGGCTGTCAGCTTTATTTGCTGAATGAATGAGTGAACAACGCACGGACAACAGACAGGGAAGCTACAGAGAAAACAGCCAAGTGGTCTATGCGGCAGGCAGAAGAGCTGACTCCCAATTTCTACCCTCTTCTCCCCGCCCCCGCCCAGAATGCTGAGTACCTGGAAGGAGGCGGAAATGAGCGCACTCAACAACCCTCCAGCTGGGTGTTTAGTTAATTAGGGCCTGTATCCCGAGGCTCGTTTGTGTTTAACTGTCCGCCTAATGGCTTCATCTGGCTCTGGGCGGGCCCAAGGGAACCTGCCAGGCGAGGATAAGCCCTGACACCCGCTCCGGTCTGGGGCCTGCTTCGCGCCTTGCCTGGAGCGGGCAAGGACAGAGCCCCCTGTAGGAGCGCGAGGCCAGAAAGGCGCGGCTTGGCGCGGAGCTCAGCGAGCTGCAGCGGGGCTTTTCCCACGCGCTGTCCACCCTCCATCTCCAGCTGCTGGGACCACCGGCCGGATAACGGAGCATTCCCGTGATGCCAGATGCCAATCGCTCGCTTTACCCTCAGCCGTGAAATTGAAGGATTACAGCGTTTCCTAGTCATCTTAGTTGGGGAGTATGGGGGAGCTAGAGAGGAGAGAACAACTGACTAGGCGAAAGAGGAGGCCAAATGAGCCGCATCCTAGCGGTATCTCTACGGAAGTAGATTGCCCAGTCCTCCTCAGGATAGAGTGATAATACCACTTAATATGTGGGCACTAGCTGTGTACTAAGTACTGAGTTGAAGCTATGCCTATATGTATTAACCAGTTTAATTCTAGTACTTTAGAGGGGGAGTCCCCGGGCAGTGCAGTTAAGACTCTACACTACTAGTCAAAAGGATTGGTGGTTATAACCCACCCAGAGGCATCCAGAAAGATGTTGTTGTTGTTGTTACTTGCTGTGGAGTCAGACCTGACTCATAGCGACCCCTCCTTGGGTTTCCGAGGCAGTATCACTATGGAGCTCTGGTAGCATAGTGGCTAAGTCACTTGCCTGCTAACCAGACGGCTGGCGGTTCAAACCCACCAGCCACTCCTCGGAAGGAAGGTTGGGCAATCCTACTTCCGTAGTGATACTGCCTCGAAAACCCAAGGAGGGGTCGCTATGAGTCGGGGCCGACTCGACGGCACATAACAACAACAACATCACTATGGAAGTAGATTGCCCCATCTTCCTAGGAAGGAAGGTTGGTCTGCCGGGAAGATAGGTCTGCCAATTTGCTTTTGAAAGGTCACAGCCTTAAAAACCCCGTGGAGCAGATTTGGGTTTGCCGTGAGTTGGGGAGTGAGTCCATTAACATTTTAGAAGGTTGTTGTGTTGTTAGGTGCCTTTGTTAGGTGCCACTCATAGTTAGCTCATGCACGACTGAACGAAACACCACTCAGCTCTGCACAACTTCACAGTATTTGCTGAGCCTGTTGTCGGTCATAGCCACTGTGTCAATCCATCTTGTTGAAGGTCTTCCCCCTTCTTCCCTGACCGTCCACTTTAGTAAGCATGATACCCTTCTCCAGGGACTGGTCCC